GGTGATAATATAAACCGTTTGGAGTCGCTCTACTGGTACATGTGCTGAGTTGTAGATATCGTTGAAAAATTCTTTCATAATGTCAATGCCATGCTTATCTAATTGCTACAGCATTTATGTGTTTATTCCATCTTCAAGGGGGTGTTTTTAATTGCAAGCTCTACCTCGAATTTTAGAATGTTGGGACCATTGTTGTTGTTTGGTTGTAGTATAGTATGGGTGGTCATTTGTCTTCAAATAATTCTCCGACATATTCTGCCCCTCTCCCTGGACCTTTTTTGTTCTCAAATAACACTTTGTCTTCTTTTCAATAAGATGACTTTTGACCATTATGTGGTCGGTGAAATGGATTCATGAGTCAGACACATCAACATCAACTCAAGAATAGGGTTTTGTACAGGGGCGACCAGAAATAATGCTGATGGACCTGAAAGTTTTAATGGTTTTTGCTTCTAATAATGTAATATTGCATGCACGTTAAACAAAGTAAAGTCATGCTCTAGTAAAAGTATCCCCCTTTTCTAATTTTTGTTTTCATAAAAATAAAAAATCAAAGCTTCTTCAACAGTGAAGAGCCTACCATTTCCATAACTGAAGTCGGGAAACAAGAACAAAAGAAACAGACAAATTATCTGCTGCCCTACCTTGACAGATTTTCTTGGCTATGTTATATCCGCCCGTAGTCCCCGAGACGTACACACAGATTGTCGTTCCTGCGGAAAGCCGGACGTTCACGAACTCCTGTGACTGGTCGCACACGTTGGCCAGGTAGAGAGTGCCCTCTGAAGGGCTGGGAGGCTGCGCACTGAATGATAATGCCAAACCTGGGGGCAATGGATGACCTAAGGTGTTTATTTTCATAACAAAGGATACTATGAAAGCCTGGGATATGTTTAGGTTGCACTGTTTAAACATATTTTAATGATTTCGGATCACATGTGAAAAATGAGCAAACACTGCAAATTAAGTTTTCAATATTTTTTAAAACTCCCGTTTCAAAGATTTTCTCCAAATGGTGTCTGTATAGGTGAAATTGAATAGTTTTACTTATTGTCCCGAACGTTGTAAAATAGTTTTCAAATGTTAATGCACACTTGATAAGTTCTAATTTTCGAGTGGTTGTTGTCTTTAAAACACTCCCATCCAATTGCCTAAATGTGAAACAAACAAACAAACAAACAACAAAGATATTTTGAAAATATGAAAAGTCTGGTATCTGCGAAATCTACTCTTTCAGAAAATGGGCATATCTCAAAAAGTTCTTTTCCCGACATTACCTTGTATTCCTGTGTGGTAACAGATAGGTAAAAAATCAAACCATTGTGCTAGCTTTAATTAGAGACACGTCTGTTTTGTACAAGTTGAACAAAATGCCACAACAAAGGCAGAGCAAATTTAATGGAACCTTTCGGATCCGTTATATTCTGAATCTGCCCATCGGTCCAGTCACTTGGATGAAATTGGAGCTGACCGAAAGACAAATCAAGTTCATAGAAAAGATGGATCACTTACGCCAGACAGGCCTACAGTATTGCTAATATGGAGTCTCCTCTTGTCCAAATTTTCATAACACGTCACAAAACCGAGGACTGTGTCTTTCGTTGGATCCAAGATATCTCATTAAAGAGGAATGCAAGGCATGGGCACCAGTAAACGGTAACTGTCACCACGTTTCTTAGTTTTATTTCTATTTCTATAACAAAAAAGACAACTTATCCAGCATTCTAAAGCCTTGACTACATTCGGGAATCCAGAAGACGAAGGAAAATCACGATGAGCTGAATAAAAGGCAGGGATTTTTTTTCAGCATTATTGTTATTCACGACCAGTTTTAATAAAAACAACACATTAGAGGGATAACAGCCATTTAGTGCAGTGAGTGAAAAAAGGCAAGACAGTCACAACAGAGGGTAAGAGTAGAAAGAGGACCTTCCAGACACTCTCACCAGCTACATGTACCTTCTTCTTTCAGTTCCAGACAACGTGAAATCTTTTACCACCAAGATGGGGGATATTGTGGTGAGTGTAAAGATTAAACGTGGAAGGTAAAACATGAAATGTCTCACCGGGTGTGCATGTCTTAGTCGCGTTTTGGTAGAAAAAGCTGTAGCAGTCCTCGAATGTCGACAGGCACGTCATGGCACAGGAAACAGCTGATGAAGACGTCCAGGTTTTTCCTTGGAGAATTAGCCATAGTCCTTGAGTTCCGCTTGGCGAGCGTGTGAATGCCCGGTTTCTCACCTGGATTTGGGAGGTAGGTACGGCTGAACATAGACAAATGGAAATAACATTTAATTCATTACACCGAAATGGTTATAAAAAAAGATTTGCAGCTCCAATACTTAACATTCATTGATGAATACAATGTGAGAATTGTATAAATTTAAGGTACTTTTTTATGGTTATTATTTTTTAGAATGTCTTCATCAATGTCATTTGTTCACCACAAAAGACATGACTTAAAAAAATCTACCTTGCTAATATGTGGGCCTCACGTCTAAAGGCACAGCGGCCAGTTGTGCCTTTCCCCCAAGTAGTGTAAGTAGTTATCTAAGGGTTTGGTTTGTCTATATTGTGGGAAATTTGTTGCTATTAAGGGAAAATCCACTAGCATCAATAGTGTATCGGTGAGGAAGAGACCCTAGTCAGATGACCGAGTGGGGAGAATATTTTCATCGAGTTTCTCGGACTTTTTGCCAGGATATTTTCCTCTCAACCTGAGTTGATCTAGGCTGGCAGGTTCGAAAGCCCCGTCACCTAAATGATTTAAATTGTATCGATGGGCGCGTAAAACAACTACATCTATAAACGGATAGACAGACAGACAGACAGACAGACAGACATATAGATAGATAGATAGATAGATAGATAGATAGATAGATAGATAGATCTCAACTTGTGCTACGACATATGTATAACTAGTATTACCTAAAGAACTATGAAACCACACCTAGATCAATATCAATTTAAAGCTTTAAAACTAAAAACGAAAACAATTAAATACAAGAGCTTCAAAACGAAAACCTAATCACGTGCAAACCTTTTAACAAAATAAAAGAAGCACAGAATATGATATGCAACATGGTTGCTACCGGTATTTCAGATTTTAATATCGTGTCTCTGTTTTCTTCCCAGCTTTTCCTCCCCACTCCTCTGAGTGAGAGGCAGTCAGGCAAACCTTTTACTTTTATACTGCGCTTTATTTGCGCTGCTTTTTTCTCTTTTATTCGGAGCTCACAGGCGACTTCCGTGTTGAAGAGTGTTCGATTTATTATCCACAATTCTTAAGTCTGTTTTGTGTTGTTCCAGTTGTAATCGTAATTAGAGGACGTGCCTCTTAATAATGCAAAGGGTTTCTCTTTGAACTATCAATAAAAAAGCATTTGGTTGTAATAATCGGTCTAATTTATCACGTCTTTGGCATATTATTATTCATTTATAGATCAGTGCCTCTATCTCTTTAATTCTAAACTGAATTTAGAGGTTATAGGTTTATTTAGGTTCTCGTTATTGAATCATTTGACCTTCTGCCATCTCCACAGACGACAAGTTGGTTTCGTATTGATGCGACTTGAATAAACTAATTTCTGATGAGGTGCAACCCCAACGAACTGGTTGTATGGGTAAGTATTTTGTATTGCAATTTATTCAAATTGATGTGCTTTTTTCATAAGTCTCATTGACCAGACACGGTTCATCAAAATAGGAGCACGTTATTTATATAATATGTAGATACCTTTGTGGCTTTTTGAATCTCACTCAATTTTTCAGGATTTTAAAGAGGCCTCTAGGGGTATTTATTTCAACCGTCATTTTTTTCCTTTTAAGCGCAGATACCTGGTCTCAGAATGGGCAAATTCTAAACGTTCAAACAAAATAAGTAGCGCAAGGCATTCTGCTGAAAACATTAACCTGTTTGGTAAGATTTTCAGCAAGACTTTGATTGCATGACTAATAAGGCTAATAATAATTGTGGAATAGTTCTGACACTGTTGCAGGTTTGTCTTTCTTTGGAAGAGTAATTACCAGTGACTGAGTTCAAGAAATAGGCCATTCTTCTGTCTGCCAGATTTTGTTGCACATGTTTAGCAGTGCATCAATCATGGTCTCTCCTCCTGATTGAATCAGTTCAATTGGGACGTGTTGTCTACTCTGGCGCTTTTTCTTAGATAAAGTGATTTTTACTGCTGCCTTTTTCTTTTTCCGAAGAATGGGATAGTAATCCGTGTTGGAAACTAGTGAGTGTTTTAATACTTGGGGGGCCCCCTATAGCGGTGTGGTTGTACAGAGTTCAGAACAGTATTCTGGCCATCTGCTGAGAATGTCCTTGTCTTTTGTTGGGCACTTCCCATTTTATCATGTATGGTGGTGGTACCACCTTGCTTTTAACTGGTCCCATCTTTCACCAGCTTATATGCTTTCTTGGCATCGTTATTCAATCAAACCCTCTCTAGCTTTCAAAATGCCTTTCACTGCTGGTTCATTGCTTTTTTTATGATACCATGTTTTGCTCGTTTTGTTGTAAACGTGTCTTTTCTCATCTCACTGCGTTTGTCGCACAAATGGAAAAAGAAGTTGGGAGTAAACCAAAGCTGTTTTTGATGTCTGTACTTGCCAGGTTTGCTGTCTCTGTCACTGCTACATAGACCTTATTGACCATCGTCTGCTCCAAGCAGAGTCAGGGGAGAAAATTTTCCCTCCTGTCATTGCTTTGAACGCTTCTGCTGTCTCAGGTTCCTTCCGTTTCTTAGTTTTAAACTGTTGTGTGAGAAGTTGCTGGGGAGGGTGAAGTATAAGAAGCTCAACAAGCTTTTTTGTGAGGAGGAAAAGCGATTATACAAGTAGAAGTAAAAATTGTAAATTATGTCAAAGCAACAAACTGCAAAAATGTTTAAACAATCATGAATCAAATTCAATATTACTGCATAGGGGGCATTATTCAGGAAAAAAAGGTTGACTAAGTTGCCTAACTTTATCTCCCTTTGTATAGCCTGAAATTTATGCAGAGCAAAATTTATGCACAGAGAAAGATTTTCCATGTCCTGCCGATTCCATTAAGTGAAATTGTAAATGTATTATTTAGAATAGCAGAACCATTATCAGGACAAAGCAAAAAACCCCCCAAAAAACCTGAATCATTTTTAAAAAAATCAGTTTTGTTTATCCTGGTAGAGAGGCTTGCGAAAATTGTTGTGAGTTTTTTTGTTCCATATCACACAAGTTGCTTTCTTTTGAATTCAGTATAATATTATTTCGAACCCAAAAGGTTTTTACGGAAGAGGCCCTGGATCACATCAAACTCGTTCTTCTGAGATTCACAAAGTACCATCTTTGACTCATTATTTGAGTCCATTCGTTCAGATATATTATACATCTTCTTGTTTGTTCGACCCCTTCTTTTTTATTCCTTCTGAAATTTCCGTTCTTCTATTCAAGTGTACGTTTTTCACGTGCTTGTGCTTGTGTGCGCGTGCGCACGTTTGTGTGTGTGTGTGTGTATGTGTGACTGTGTGTATGTCTGTGTGTGTGTGTGTGTGTGTGTGTGTGTGTGTGTGTGTGTGTGTGTGTGTGTGCGTGCGTGTGTGTGTCTATGTGCATGTGTGCTTGTGTGTTTGTGTATGTGTATGCACATGCGTCAGCAGTAGACTGGAAACCAGAATCAACATCAGTATTTTGGTCGAAATCAACTGTCGAAACCTTATGAAAAGAATTAACACAAAATGTCAGAGTAGCTTGCCTTATCGCCAGGTCATGTAGTAATGTAAATAAAGCGGACGAATTAAATTATTTAAAAATTGAAATCAACCTCGATATTTTCTGTATTACAGAATTATGGTTGCCAGAGCACGGTGATGATGTTATTTTATCAGAAATACGCCCAGATGATTATTTAATTTATCTTTCACTCGTATCGGGCGTAGAGGAGGAGGGGTAGTGGGTAGCGTTTATTTATAGAACTAATTTAGCACAATGTACAGTGAAAAAGATCCCCTGTCACTATTGTGAGGCTGCTTTACTGTCATTCCAGCTGCAGTCCCAAAGCATTACCACCTGCTGCATATACAGGCCACTACCGAGTACAGTACATTGTATCAAACCATCCGTTTTTATGGAGAAATTTCTAAATGTGAGACATACAACACTTGAATCTAAATCTAAAATATCTATAAAGACACATTTAATGACATCATTTGTATATCAGTAGATTCATGTTCGCTACAATGTTATGTAAATGACTTTGTATCCAATTATGTATTTTGCGAATTGCATTGTGTATAGTTTTTGTTATTATGTATTTGTATTTGGAGAACTACAATGGCTAAGGCTAGTTTCAATAAAATGAGCCCAATCCTGAAAAATAGAAACATCTCAATTAACACCAAAATGAAAGTCCTGATATGCTATGTTTATTCAACCCTTCTATATGGCTGTGAATGCTGGACAATCATTGAAGACAGTGAAAATAAAATAGAAGCAACAGAAATGTGGTTTCTTAGGAGACTGTTAAAAGTATCGCGGAAGGAAAAGAAATCAAATGAGGCAGTGCTTGATGAAGCCCACGTGGGACGCTCAATGTTAAAAACAATCAGGAAACGACAAATGCAGTTTTTTGGGACACCTGAATAGAAATAAGGGTCTTGAAATCTAGCTCTCACTTGCAACATTGAGGGCAAGCGAGGCAGGGGTAGGCCCAGAACATCATACTTAGGGAACCCAAACAAATGGGTAACAGGGAAAGATCAGGGAAACGTAGCTTTTTTGAGAGCATCCGAGCAAAGGAACGAATGGAAAACCATGATCGCCAATGTCTGTCGCAGATCTGGCACTGGATGATGAAGATGATGTGTGCGCTCATTTCGTAACGGTGTGTAAGCGTGCGCGTGCGATAAGC